GGAGTCTACCATAAAGAGGAAAGTAGACCAAAACTATAGCTATTTAAAAATATGTTCAATTAACTGTGAAAATATAAATGCAAAATCGGTACAATTTCATCCTTTAGGAAGTTTAACAGGCACAAATGGAATTTGGTTTCCATTTATTCTACCCAAATAGTTAATTGTGAAAATGACACACCAAGCATTTGGTATAATGTAGTTCGGAACACTACTCCTTCCAAATTTAATACTAAAACCTCAGCTGGATTTTCCAGACAGCCCAAGAGTATCTAGGCACTGCGGAATGTGGTCATGTCTTTTGGTTCTCTGCTGGGAATGCACCAGTCATCAGCCTCATGGTTCGTGTTGTAGTGTTTCCAGGCTGCTCTGTTATACACGGGGAGCCTTTCTATTGATTCGGTTGACAAAGCCTGGGGGAGGGAAAAAAAAAGCAAGACTTATGTGTCTGGCATTTTTTAGAATTCATTATTTGAGAAAACAGACAACGGAAAAAAGGGAAATTAAATAACACCCTACTGATACCTTATTATTCATAACACCATGTAAATATGCTTTTAAACAAGATATATATTGGAAATCTGTTATTTTCTAAATCTATGCCACTGATTAATGTGCATGTTGATTGAGTCTGTTGTATGCCCCCAGCAATCCTGGAAGCTGCTGGATTGAAATTTTACAGAAAATGTGACCCAGGCCAGAAGCTAGCTAACTGAAAAAGTCAGTTAAATGTAAAAGCATAAAAAATTGACCTATGTACCTTAGTATGTGGATATACATTTAATGAAAGTCATTTTAATTATTTACTAGAAGAAATTTTTTTTTTCAGTATAGTCGCTGTACTTTTTAAAATTCTTAAGAATCATATCTGCAAATATAAAACAAATATAGATGGCATCTTGGCTTTTGCATGAACAGTTCTCGGCTCTGGGTCTGCTCCTGCATCCTCTCCTCCTGCCTCCGATTCAGTCCCTATGACTTCTGCATTATGCAGGATTTCCTGTTCCAGTATAGCATTACCATTAACCTACTGTTCTATTTCAGCTTTCTGCAAATCCCTGGAACCTGAAATAAACTATATTCCTTGCTATCTTCTTCAAATTAGGATTTTTCAGTAAAATTTCAACCTCCTGCCATATATTGAACCAGAAATTTCATTCTGATAATGCTAAGTAAGGGCTTTTATGTTGATAATTTTAATGATTCTGTAAAACTTTTTGTCTTCTATTTTTTTTGTAGAGACAGAGTCTCACTCCATCACCCTCGGTACAGTGCCGTGGTGTCACAGCTCACAGCAACCTCCAACTCCTGGGCTCAGGTGATTCTCTTGCCTCAGCCTCCTGAGTAGCTGGGACCTCAGGCACCCGCGACAATGCCTGGCTATTTTTTGTTGCAGTTCAGCCGGTGTCAGGTTTGAAGTCACCACCCTTGGTATATGGGGCTGGCGCCCTAGCCACTGAGCCACGGGCACCACCTTGTTTTCTATTTTTTTCTAAAAAATGGAACTAAAAACCTTTCACCTATATCTTCTCTTTATCCCAGAATTTCTTGATCTATAGGCTGGATCAAAATGTTACATTTGGAGACAAAAAATGTTGCATTGATATTGCCCTTTTAATGTTTCTCTCAAATGATATGGTTAAAAAAAAACTATTATCTACAAAGAATTTAACTTTTCACATAAATGTATTTACTCCAATATAAATTCTTCAGCATTTCCTATAAAATAGGTGCCATCTAGTGGCCAAAATAAGAAACTAGAGTCACTAAAAGGAACAGTGGCCCCACTGCTCAACCAACCAAGTGGATGAGTGCTTTTGCCATCCCTATAAATACATACTGATTTACCTTGGTAAATACAATGACTATTCCAGGCTGGGAGGCCAAGCTTCTGCTCCCACCAGGTAAGCTATAGGATTCTCAAGAGTTACCTATATTTGTTCCCAAATCTGTTTATGCAGTTACATCTGTCATTATAATCATAGAATTTTATTACATAAACAAAGAATACACAAAAAGGGATAGTTCCATTGAGAACTAAGATGAATGCTTTGGAAAGATTCACAAAAAAAGTCACATAAAAATTATGAAATTGGAGTCAGAACACATCTGTAAAAGACTGCATAAAATTCAAAAGAATTGTGCATTTGTTTCTTTGCTTAAAGAAACTGAAGTGATATATTAAGTATAGCTTCTGCAAGAAAGACATTGTGACATTCCAATCAAGAGATACACATACAAAGAAAAGGTCATAGCAATGAATACATCAAAAATTAGTGGGTCAATGTCCACATGTGTTTCATATGAAATTTGCATAGCAAGACCCCATCTCTAAAAAATAAAAAAAAATTAGTCAGATGTGGTGGTACATGCCTGTAGTCCCAGCTACTTATGAGGCTGAGGTGGGAGGATCACTTGAGCTCACAAGTTGAGGCTACATGAGCTATGACCAAGCCACTGTGCTCCAGCCTGAGTGACAGAACAAGGTCCTGTTTCTAAACATAAATAAATGAGCCAGGTGTGGTGGCTCATGCCTGTAATCTTAGCACTCTGGGAGGCCAAGGCAGGTGGATTGCCTGAGCTCACAGGTTTGAGACCAGCCTGCGCAAGAGCAAGACACCATCTCTAAAAATAGCCAGGCATTGTGGCAGGCACCTGTAGTCCCAGCTACCTGGGAGGCTGAGACAATTAGATCACTTGAGGAGAGTTTGAGGTTGCTGTGAGCTGTGAAGCCACAGCACTCTATCAAGGTTGACATAACAAGATTGCATCTCAAAAAAAACTAAAATTAATTTTAAAAATACATAAATAATAAAAACAAGATTTGTATTAAATTTTTTTGATTCTCTACTTTAACCCAATTTTTTTCCCACTAATAATCACAGTCCTGAACATGACAGAATGATCTCCATCTCTCCACCTGGAAGAGATCCCATGCAGAAAACCATAATTTTTTATATTTAAACAGCATGAGGTAAAGTTTCATTACAGTTAAATATTGGCTTTTTTCCCACATCATTAAAAGAAATGTTATTAAATCAAGAAGATGGTAGTGATTACCTTAATGTAGATAACCGCGTCTGTCCCATAACCCTCTAGGGAATATAGCTTTAGATCTCCTTGGAAGTACTGTGCATAAAGACGTGATATGGGCAATCCATAACCAAAACCAGCCTATTTGATGAGAAAAACAAAATTCTATTCAGACAGCCACACATTGAACTACTTTTATAATTAAGGCAAATGCTAACACAGCCTGCAGCTGAGAGATCTGTGCGTATTTACTGATAATGATTAGGTGGATGTATTGATTACCACATCAGCTGACTACCCTTTGGTCATTTAAAGCTCTCTGCCCTGTGGCTCAAAAGAGTAGGGCACTGGCCCCATATACCAGAGGTGGTGGGTTCAAACCTGGCCCGGTCCAAAACTGCAAAAAAAAAAAAAAAAAAGCAGCAGGTCTTCATTCTCTACTATTCAGCCATAAAGAAAGAGGGAGGCTTTACATCTTTTGCATTGACCTGGACGGAGATGGAGAACATGCTCCTTAGTAAAGTCATCACGGGAATGGAAAACCAAGTATCCCGTGTAGTCAATACTAAATGAAGCTGGCAGACAAACCAATACACACCCACACAAGGGAAAAACTCAATTACTTCAAGTTGGGGAAAAGAGAAAGGGGCCAGGAGGGAGGGGATTGGTGCACTCTCACCTAATAGGCACAATGCACTTGGCACATCTCCTGGGTGAGGGGCACAACTACAACAAGCACTTTATCTAACAAACGCAAACAATGTAAACTACTTGTTTGGGACCTCAGATTAGTCTGACATTTAAAAATATAAGGCTCTTCGTTCTCTCTATAAAATGACTTGAGGTGGTCTGGAGGAGGCATGCTGCTTTCCCTTGATGGCCTATGGTATCCCCATACTGCTTGGCAATGGCCTACAAAACAAGTTATCTCTTCTAGAAGCAAGAGTAGAAAAAGCCTCCCTACAGCCTAATATTTATGTACGCAGTTATCTCATGACTTCGTATCATAAATTCCCAGCCTGTGCTCTGAACCTGCAGAGATCCATGATAGGTCTACTTTCTTACTTCTCACTGAAAGGTACTGTCCTGCTTAAAAATCCTCAAAGCATCCCACCACTCCCCCCACCCTCATCCCACTGCCTTAGAGATAAAATTCCAAGCTTCTAAACAGACCTTTCTGGACCCAGTGAGGCCAGGTCTCTGACTCCCACTTTCCAGGCTGACAGACCTACCACTCCTGCTCTTACATTCCTTAAACAAATCTCTTCTGTGTCTCTTCATCCTGTTCCCAGCATCTGGAATGGCCTCAGCCTTTACCTAGATAAATCCTACCAATTCTTAATATGAAACAAAACATGTGGATAAAATGTTTTGATTATCAAGGTGTATCTCCAGTAACATCCCATACAGCACATTAGTTAAGATTTTATATTGACTCAGGAATCAGAGTGCTATTTTTTTTTTTTTTTTAGAGACAGAGTCTTACTTTATCGCCCTTGGTAGAGTGCTGTGGCATCACAGTTCACAGCAATCTCCAACTCCTGGGCTCAGGCGATTCTCTTGCCTTAGCCTCCCGAGTAGCTGGGACTACAGGCACCTGCCCCAACGCCCCGCCACCCGGCTATTTGTTTGTTGCAGTTTGGCTGGGGTCAGGCTCGAACTCGCCACCCTCAGTATATGGTGCCGGCGCCCTACCCATTGAGTCACAGGCGCCACCCTCAGAGTGCT